GAAGGCTCGACCTTTAAAGATCGTAACGTTTATCGTTTTCGACCATTAACCTGCAAAATATAAAACGTACGGCCGTTCAACGTTACCTCTCGTCTTCCTAACGGGATCTTGACCTTTCCCGTCCCGCGGGCGTCATCCTCGCTGTTCCAGAATTGTACAAAAGCTTCTCTCTGAGGCTCAGGGATATTTGAGAAATGTACAGGTGCTTTGTCTTGTGGAGGGTTTTGATATAATTGCTGAGTGCGATAATATGATTCTCCTGGAGAATCGGCAATCGGGATCTTATCATCCGGCAGAGACTTCATGTAAGCCTCTACCTAAGGAAAAAAGTCGAAGACAAAACTTCTTTTTCATACCTGCTAAAGCATCAAAACAATTCAGCAGACTTAAGTTTTAACTGAATATTAGTTATATTGCTGTAAGTTGAATACTAAGATTTTCTATACAGCGGTTTCATTTACAGAAGTAATTAAACAACAAAATGCGGTAATAAACATTACAAAAGACAAATGCATTTTTAAAAAAATAATATTTGAATACAGTCCCACCTCCCCACAACGGACACCTTGGGGACAGAAAAAAGGGCCGTTGTAGCCCGGGCCGTTATGGACAGGTATGGGTGTAATGTGACAATTTTTTTTAGGAAGTACATCATGTTTATTGTGCTAAGTTCTTGCTTACTCTCTTCCATAATGATAATTATCCAATCATAAATAATATGTTGATATAAAATACGCAAAAAGCTTGAATTATGTTTGGAATCAAAATGTTAACTTGACAAAACGAGAAAGGCTCGCAACATTTCGCTTTAAATATCGTAGAGAATTAATGCTTACTGTGACAGTATAAATGAAACAAAATTTAAATACGATTGCGGTGGTTAATCATCAACGCGCCATACGAATCAAATTTCATGACCATTCTTGACTTTTTCCAGGAGCCTGCTTTTTCATTAGTCAGTAAAAAAACTGGCCGTTTTCGAGAGATTATTTTCGCAGTTGGGGACACGTTTTAGTGGCCGTTGCCGTTGTGGAGAGGTGGCCGTTATAGAGAGGTTTTTAATAAGAGTCAATGTATGGACTGTACACCGGGCCGAAAAAAAGTGGCAGTTGTAGAGAGGTATTTAATAAGAGTCAATGTATGGACTGTACGCCGGGCCGAAAAAAAGTGGCAGTTGTAGAGAAGTTTTTAATAAGAGTCAATGTATGGACTGTACACCGGACCAAAAAAAAGTGGCAGTTGTGGAGAGGTGGCCGTTACTGGAGGTTCAACTGTACTTGACGGAAATTTTTTTAGCCTTCGTTAAAGAACATCTTCAGAAACATCGAAACAGGGAGATGTAATCCACGGTATGTCCTCGTTTAACAACAAGACTAATTCTTCATAGCCAGCTAGGGCTAACCAAATTTACGATATTCGATAGAATGACGTCACAGGCTATCGACAGACAAAGGGACGCAACCGAGAAGCGCTGGGGACGAGGTTATGTTCACTCATTTGTTTTGTTGGAGCAGCAGAAAATTTCACACGTTTTGTGAGGAAGAAATAGCCGATTTTTTGCCTAAAACATCGCAAGAACATCGAAAATACAATTTATAACGGATTACAACTGCTTTTTGAACATCCCGTTATATCCTAAATTTACCGAGGAAAATGCTAATGAAAACGGAGATTTAACATCAATCGAGAAACCGCATTTATTCGATTAAGCACGTGTTTTTGCACAAAGGCGGCAAGTAAGAATCAATTTGAATGTGTAATAAAACAGCTATTGGATTCTGAACTTGCTGTAAAAATTCATAACCTGCATCTTTCCTTACCTGTCCAGCGGTTAGTCCCGGTGGGGACCAAATGTAAGCTGAGGCCAATGAAGCGGATGGGGGAGGAGGGGGCAAGAAGTCATTGTCAACAGGACCGCTCTCGGTCGTGGTCACCTTCACTGTAGAGTAATCATTGTAATTTTGTCTCCTTGGGGAAGGCGGGGAAGGCAAATCGTTCTCTTTGTTAATGTTGGACTGGATGTTTAGGCCTCTAATTTTGAATTCAACTCCGTCCAAATCAACATCTACCGACACATCATGATTCTCTCTTGGGCATTTACAGTTTGCACACACTTTGCTGTGGAATAAGAATTGCAGATCAAACAATTTGTAGCGGGAGTTTATTGGTTTATCTAAAATGTTAATGAGCCTTGAATCCCCCAAAAAGCAAGGCCGGGATGGCCGATCCACATCTTGCGCAAAACTTCAGAAAAGTAATTTTTCAAAACACCGAAAAGGTTCCTTTCCGAGTTAAGTTGAGTCTAGCGTTATATTAGGAAGGAGATTTTTCTTTGTGTATAAACAAACAGTGAGCACAAGACTCGGACTCTTTGGTCTGTCTATGATTACACCACCGACTAATAACCTGTAGAATGCACATGTCGTATTGAAAACGCGAGAAACATCAAGTTGATCTAAACGAAAGTGATTAAGCTCTTCCATCAATTAGGCTCTTCTTCAGTGGCCTACGTATATTAAAGTTCCGATAAAGGTTGAAAAGCATTCCTATGCTGGAAAACCAACTCGTCACCAGCTAATTTGAAATCGATTTAAGAATATGACGAACAAAAATACTAACAATCACCAGCACCGGGCATTTTTTGCACTCTGCCTATTTTAGCTTGAGACGAAAATAGTGAGCCTGGAAGGAGTGCCGGCCGGCCATATATAGTGTGTAAAAGGCCGGATGCGGCGCGTCTTTGACTATAAATAAACTGACATTCCTTGCCCTCTCTTATCTCTTTGAAACCATCGGGCAAACAGTCGCACTATATAATTGTAGTGCGGAAATAAAGTTAATTCATTCAAGACAACGACAAGTCTTACGAACCAAGAACTGACCTCAGTACTATTTTTGAACTTCGATCTCATTGTCAATCAATCAGCCAGTCAGTTACTTTGACTCAGCTCTGAAAACGCGCGCATGCGGAACAACTACAACAAAGGGTGACCGCTAATCTACATGAACAGTTTTCCTTTTGATGCATCGAGTATCAAACCATAAGGTTAGAAAATAACTCATGATAGTTTTCTATTCTGTTTTCGATACGTAATGCTTCCCTTTAAAAAACGACCTGTCAAAGTTGATTACACTTCAGCCATTCTAGTATAAACTTTCGGTGAAACAGGCAAAATTAGTTAAGTCTTTTCGACATTCTTTTGATGGCATTGCGGGACAGAAGAAAACACTCGGAATTCGCTCAAAATTGAAATTGCAACATCCATCCAAAACTGAAAAAAAGGGAGGTAGCAAATCTTAATTTCACTCTGATCATCAATACTTCGTCATTGTTAACAGACAAGTGGTGCGGCGTCTAAAGGAATTATTCATTAAGCGATAAAAAAGATGGATAAAAACATTTACTACGTAGAATCAACATGTTATATTTGCCGGAGTTGGATGACTGTAATTCGCAGTTCTCATCCTGTATGCTGTCTGCTGATAATGAAATTGCTTTAGACCCGTCAGCGATGAAACGTAGGAATTGACAAGGAGTTTGAATGTCTAATTTCTGTCCAATACAAAGCCCTTCCCTATAAACAGAAGACGAGTAATTGACGAAAAAAAATCATGCAAAACAATTGGAAATCACTAAAACAGAACTGGAATGTTTAACAAGAGATTAAGAAATGCTCACAATAAAATTCTCTCCTTTGCGTGCATGTACCTTGTGTTTATTTCATACGAGGAAAGCTGAAACTGCGATAAACGAGTGTCACGATACCCGGCAGTTCAAAAATAACACAACGCCGTATTGGTATACTTAATAAAAGGAGTTAATTCAAGATCTAAAAATGTTCTGAATACGAAAGATATAAACAAACATGCAGTCAGGTTTAAAGCATATTGCGTTCGTATGTTCAATGAATTTTCGTATGCCGCTTTGGTGTGCTATGAATCTTTTTGAGCAAGCCAAACGCAACCAGTCTCTATAAACCCTTAATTGAGTAGTGTCTTAAAAGGTTTGTTCCAATCGATGCCCACTCAGTCGCGAAATTGAAATATACTTACGTTTTGCGGCTCGGTCTCGGTGGTTTAGTAGGAGTTCTGGTCTTCTGTTCGCTGCCCAAAATCTCCATGTTGTCTTAAAGGGAGTCAATCACGCGATCAGCTGACCAAAATGAACGAAAGAATCACCGGGAGACTGAACAGAGAAACAGCTCTTACCGACCGAGAACTGGCTTTGAGAAGTGCACCTTCTGTGTTTGACTACTGAAGCGATTAATGAATGAAAACTGAAAGCTTTCTAATACCCTCAGGCTTTGCCAGACTTGACACGTAGATTTACAATGACAATCTTACTGCGTGGACATTAGACATTACTTTTTATACACAAGAGCGCGGGCTTAAAGTTAAATTTTCCAGTGGAGCATTGTCAAGTTGATAAGCGAAAGCTGGCGCTGATTCTAGCTCAAGAGGGCCTAACCTTTAATCCCCACACCCTTGTGCGAAAAATGCTCGAATTTAACCAAGAAACGTAATGAAAACAAATATTTGTTGCCTTGTTACTCTACGATTATTTCGAGGTGGGTAGTGAAATAACTCGTAAGAGATTCGACGTGTTCTATTGTACACTTTTAATTAAAGACACAAAGAATAATTTTTACTCTAAACAACGGGATTCAAATTTATTTTTCATTAACTGTTAATTCTTGTGCACTGCGTGCTTAACACGGACGGGTGAACAACTTAAAACGAAGTAAAAAATAAACAAGGTTTATGAGCCTTGAGTTCGTGCTTACCGCCACACGTGCAAGCTAAATCCAGGGCATTTTTCTCCACATTTAAGGCAGGGTTTTCCTTCGTCCAAATTCTGAAGCAAGATTCCCTATTAAAAGAAAAGAGAATCGTATCAGACAGCCGACAGCCATTATTACCGCAAACCCTGTAGATTCTCATGATTTTAATAATTAAAAAACAGCTCATTAAGACTTACTTTCTTCGATGCAGATGATCTCTCTGAAGTCATTCTTATCTCGTCGTTGCTCAATATTCTTTGAAAGTTGTCCATATTTGCTGCTTGCGAGTTGGTTTGCCGCACGTACATTACTGCTGCATGCGCTGATAGAGCAGCGAAGTGAAGCGAGATGCGTTCACGAAATCAAATCTCTTGATATTTATCCAACGAGCTTTTCATATTTCACTCCCCCAAGGGTGCGTCGCGCCGGATATCGAATTTTCCGCGCGCGGGTCGCCGGCGGACGCGCGAGAATTTGGGTTTACACGCGCCATGAGCACGTACATGTACGTGCTTCAGCTCATAGTCTTCAGAAGCTTCGCGCAAACGGAACTACAAAAAACTGATGCAATACAAGCAACAACAGCAATAAAATGTCAAATAACAATACAAAAAACACAACAGCAGTTAAACTTGTCATTTACAACTGTATTCAGTGTTAATTGTCAGCATCCATGCAATAAACCTACTGTGCCGGCTGAACGGCTCACTGAGAAAAAAAGAGGAAATAATATTTACCATGGAATTTAAGGCCGGAAAAGGGCGCTCAGATTAAGCTTCCTGTAGTCGCCATTCTAAATTCTTCTAAGCGTCACGGAATTTTCTAAAGTGTACTTTAATTACAATTCAGATCCTCTCAGTCAAGTAACTAAAAAAATATGAGTTTTGATAGTAATTCTAGTAATAATAATAGCAATAATGATAGCAATACTCATAATAATAATAACTAATAATAAATGTCAAAAGTTAGAAGAAGAGGAAGAAGACTGGATGAGAAGAATCCCTTGTCGCAGCGAATGTCGGCCAATTTTTAATTAACAAAGGTAACAAATCGTAAAACTTCATCATGCATTAGATCGAGAGACAAGGAAACAATTAAATTTTGAATTTTATTTTCAGCAAAACTTGTGAGTTTCGGCCCCCGGGGGTCGGGTAGAAGAGGACCCTGGGTATGAGGTTGATCTCTTTTCATGTCACGCTTGCATGCACGATTTAACTTCTAAGAACGTCACGTGATCTACACAGAATGATATTAACAAACATGTTCCCCAAAGCTCTTTTACCTAAACGATTCTCAAAAGTTATAATAACGTGATAATGGAATTATCTGCTCCTTTTCTCGCCTCATACTGGCAGTACATTGCCTCAGTTTTTGCCGGAATTTTCATCGCTCAGGTAATGAGGGGAGTTTTCCAGCAGAAGGAACAAGGTTATACTGTAGATGTGGACCCTATGCAAGATGGCGAAACGACCGACATCCCTCAAAGTGACCCACGTGAATTAGGTGACAATGATCAAATACCTTATCCTTGGTTCGATGATCGCTTGACCGAGGAACAAATGAAACAAAAGTCCGCCGAGTTCTACGAAAAGATGAACAAACGACGAACTGTTCGCAAAATTAGCGACGAAGACGTCCCTTTGGAGGTAGTGGAAAACATCATTAAAACGGCAGGTTAACACATAACTGAAACTATGATAAAATAAGCATATCTGTTCCATTGTTCTATTTTACTCTTTGCATGACCGATAACTATAACTGTAAGAAGAGTATATCTATATGCATCCATGTAAGAGCCTGGTTTTAAAAGCGATTCAAGAACCTCTGACCACCTTTCCTCCCTTCCAAGATGGCGCCATGTTTGACTAAACTCACCCTTTCAAATATATTGGACACGAGACTGTGTTTAACTGTTGCTGACCAGCTTTATCTTTGATGATTATTTTTTGTGATATTTGTAGGTCAATTATCTTGTTCGCTTTAGTTTTACAAATAGTATCATACGGATAAAGAACATATAATAAACATACAAAATAAATCGAAGAAAATTAAAGTAAGAATCCTCCCTGATAACTAGTATATTTATTATTTTATCAGTTATCTCAATTTTCTCGAACTGTATATTTCATATTTGGGTTATTTATATTTCTTTGTTCATTCCATAGAGGGTTAAAGAGTCATCGATTTTAACAGTGTCACGAGTTGCCCTCTAAAAATAGTCTTTTATATTGTATCGTATTGTATATATTGTATACACAGCGCCTTCTACTTTAATTCTCATAGAGTACTAAAGTGTGACGTCATAAAAATAAAATTTCTGAAATTATGGGATTTGTCAGGATATTCTGAAAGAACAATGTCCAAGAGGCCTTCTTGCCAAAAATGAGCATTTGGGGGCAAATTGTCGCTGAGATCGTAGCCCAGTTATGCTTAGAAAACTCCATACAAACCCTTCTAAATTTTTTTTGGGTCGACCCAAAAAAATTTTAGAAGGATCTCAGCGACAATTTGCCCCAAAATGCTCATTTTTGGCAAGTAGGCCTCTTGGACATTGTTCTTTCAGAATATTCTGACAAATCCCATAATTTCAGAAATTTCATTTTTATGACGTTATCACTTTAGTACTCTATTACTGTTGTTTTAATGGTAATTAGTATCTGCAGTCAATCAGTTCTTTATTCTCTATTTATAAATGATTAAACTCAAGATTTAAAATCGTTGGCCATCCTCAAAACATAATTATAACATAGCTAGAAAATTCGCCTTATCAAATTCAATACCGCGAGAGTGCTTCATATTCCTATTGAGCACGCTGATGACGTCAATAAACTATTCGTAATTCCTCGAGTTATTGTGAGCTTAGCAATCCTGAGTCTCCTGAGTGCATCCTTAACTCAGTAGTGCACGATGAAGCGTTTACCATGTGTTTTATAAGGAATTGAAATTTAAGAGGAAACGTTTGAATTTGTTAACCGATAGTAAGGAAAAGAGGTGAGTGTTGTTTTTGTTGTTGTCATCTCCGCGAGCTGTGCGGGCTGTGGCGTGAGATCATTCTTTGCAAAGCTGTTTTGTCTCAATAACAATTTTTCCGTAAATTAATATTTTTTTGGCACCTAAATATGGATTTTACAATCATTTTTTTCTCTCAGTTTCAGGATAAAAACATAAGATTAACTGTGAGGAAAGAAAATATAGTCACGTAAACATTGTACGGCTTTGAGGGCGCCCTGCAATAATAAAATTTTGCTGCATTGATCGCTTTGATAATGTTATAAAACAATTAGTTCATGCTGCAGCTGTGCGTATGTCGAGATATTGAGCACGTGGGAAGTTTGGAGAGCACTCAGGAGGCTAGAGTTGCACTACGCTACTCTGCGAGCATTCGCAAAAAATTCTCTCGCTAACGCGGAACTGATGAGAAATTACCCTTTAGGATTTTCTTGTAAGATGCTAGAAAGAGCTGTCCACGCACAACTTCTGTCTTTTCTCAATGAGCGGAATTTATAATCCTCTCCAAACTCACTTTTGAATTACCTATTCAACTGCCGGGTAATTCAAAAGTTTATCTTTTATACTTGAAATGCGGAAATTACTCATTTATTTCACCAGCGAAATGACTTTAAAACATTTCTGTTGAATCTGATACAATATATGTTTTGTAAACCATCATATTTCTTCAACGAGCAACAATATTAAATGGGATCACTTTGAGATATTAACAACCGGGAAATCAGATGTACATTGTAGAATAAAAGAAACTTTATTGATTCGAGATTTAAAACCTGCTTTAAATGAAAATGCTGGCAGTTGTAGACTTCAAATTGAGTCTTGAGTTTTTCACATCCGTGGACGTAAAGGCGGCTCATTATTCAGAACTGAACTGGCCATATTACATTGGTTGTCCAACAGCAATTTCCCAAATAACACCACCGCCCCGCGGTCTGACATTGGTGACCTGTTCACCTTTAAGCAAGTGTCCTAGCTAATCATGGCCATGCCTACTAATGAACAAGGCCCCCGGTAAGGACAGAATACCGATGCGATTAAAGACTGTCTTCGGCACATACTACCAGCTATTACAATGCTGATTAACTCCTCCTTTACTATGATATATAGATTTAGCCATAGATTCCTTAAAGAAAATATAAAATAGAGTAATACTAATGACAAGCTGAAAGCAACGAGAAGGGTAAAAACAACAACAATAGATCTAATTAGCAAAAAAGCAACTCTGCACGTGCAGCAGTTTTTCTTTTGCACATTTACTTACCTTTCTTTTACACGACTAAAACGTGAAACTTCTTTTAGCTTCCTATTTATGCGTTTTATGGAGGAAATGTTTGTGTTCCTGTTCACTCTGTTTTTTCACTGCCGCTCCTTTTTCACGTTAGTAGCCGCTAGCATTTCTCATTTTCTAACCGCCGCTATATAATTTCATGTTTTTCTTCCAACGAAATTAGGCTGCATGCAAACGGACGCAACAACTCCCAAAATTGTTGCGCCAACAATGTTGGGAGTTGTTGCGGTTGTGTTGGCAGTGGTGTGCAAACGGATGCAACAACTCCCAACAATGTTGACCTGCAGTGCATCGTGGGAGGGATACAACCCATAAGTCTTTGTAAACCATGCGTAATGAGCGTGCGTGGCCCCAACAATGTTGGAAGTAATATATCAAACATGAGATGCAGTGTTTCATCACCAGATGAAACACCGAGAAGAGAGTTGAAAATACGACGCGCAGCGGAGTATTTTTGACGAACTTCGAGGTGTTTCATCTGGTGATGAAACACTGTGTCTCATGTTTGATATTTCTTCTCAAACAAAATCATTTTTGAAGGAGAAATTAAGGATGCAAATACTAAGCAGTGTTTCATCCGATTTCCAAACACTCATTAAACATTAATTTCCTTTGTATTTTCTTAATGAATTATTAATGAGTTTGAGAAGAGCTGTGCAAACGGATCCAACATTATTGCGCTACGCTTTGGCGATCACGGAACAAAAGAAATATTGGGAATTGTTGGCTGAAAAGTTTGACCGGTTTCAAACTTTGCGCAACAACACGCAACAACATCCAACAACATGCAACAGGGTGTGCAAACGGACGCAACATGTAACATCCAACAATGTTGCGTCCGTTTGCACGGGGCTTTAGTCTCCGTTATTATTTAGTTCTCGCTCCTAACAAGTGTGACACTTGACATCGGCTTACAGGTAGTGGGTGTACGGACGGTCGGCGTTCGCACGCTACGTCATAACCAAATTTTCTCGGATGGATAGTTTACCAAATTTTCGTACCCATGGTGCTCCGCTGGCAAGCCTCGCGCGCGAGAGCTCCGCTATTATATTACTAGAAAAACAATTTTGTACGTGCACCGCGTTTTCTGGCAAATTTCTTTACTGTCCCTGTACGGTCTGTACGACCACGACGTGAATTGACAAAGAAGAAATATCTTCCTTCTTTCGGTTGTTGCGGTACCCACGATAATTCAACTCCAAAAGCATTCACGCGCCCTTTTTAAAGTGATTCGGAATAAACGCAACAAACTTTGAAAAAATATGGGATGGTCAAGGGATGAATCCGAAGCTGATTTAACTGAGTAAAATGTTATGAGGTCCTATGTACCTATGTACACTTTAAAGGTTTGTTTCCAGCCGTCTCAAGATCTTTTGACCTCCATTTGGGGTTATTTCGAGCTGCTGCCCCAGAACTGGTAAACGGATGATGATCTAACAACCAGAGGGCATTGTCAGGATTCAGTAGTAAGTTTCAAACCAACTCTAAACACGAATCTATTTACGGCAGAATTTAAGCAGCTGTCCTACGTTTTCTCTTACATGGTTTCGCTGCCAGCCAGAATTTATACAGCGAAATGAAAGTAGATAATGACCACAGGTTATTTATATAATGTTTGAGGTTAATTTTAATTTGTTGTTATTCACTTTAGAGAGTAATAATTGATGAATTATTACGCGCTCTTTTTAATCCAATAACTTTTTTTTTTTTGGTATTAAATTTTTCAGGAACATCTCCAAGTGGAGCTCACACAGAGCCTTGGACCTTTGTGGTTGTACAAGACAAATCTGTTAAAGCTGAAATCCGCAGAATCGTCGAAGAGGAAGAGTATCTAAATTATGGAAGACGAATGGGGGAACAGTGGGTTAAAGATATTGAGTATCTCAAGACAACGTGGGCCAAACCATACATAGACACCGCTCCTTATCTCATTCTAGTTTTTAAGCAAGTTTATGGATTTAACGAGGACGGCAGTAAGAAAATGCATTACTACAATGAAATGAGTGTTTGCATTTCTGTTGGTCTTCTCCTTGCAGCCATTCAGGTCAGTTATCTGTTTTTGTTATACAGTTAAACCCCGCGTTAGGGACAACCGTTTAATACGGACACCAAATTATTATTACGGACTGTCTGCTTTGTCCCTGGGAAAGAAAGACCTTTCATTTTCTCTAAATGCAAGCACCTTAATACCGACAACCCGTTAATACGGACAAGGGGTTTGACTTTACAAGAGGCTAGGTGTTAAATCTATTTATACATTTTGCAAATATAAACAGCAGTACAGGCCCCCAAAAAACATATAAAAAGCAAGTGTTGAATCCTTAGAACTTCTAACTGTCTCGAAAAAGCATTATTTCAGCCATATCCTTAGCTCATGTAGTTTTTTGTTTCACATCTTCAAAAGCAGTAGCTAAATTTTGTCTGTCGAGCCAGATAATGAAAGCCATCCTTCGCCATGAACTCGTAATGTCAATCAAAAATTAGTTTATCAAGATCTAGATGTACTAAAAGACTCGAAAACGGTAGCCCGGCCTCGCCACGGTGGTCCGCGCTACAGTGGTTGTAACCTGTACTTTCTACAGTAAACTCTCTCTAAAATGGACAGCTTCAGAACCGGTCCTGCGACTGTCCGCCTTGGAGAGGTGACCGTCTTATAGAGTGTCAAGGTAACACGACATCAGTAATTATAAAGCTGACTATTCGCAATCAATACGCGTATGTTTAAAACTGCTGAAACTGCAACACACGAAGAGCAGTGGAATTCTTTCCTCTTTGCGCTATCAAACGTTCATTATATAATCCAACATTCACGGTTTCGTGGTCCAAAAGCGTAACAGTATACATTCTGTACACTCTGCGAGCAACAGTTTGCAAGTTACTGTCATGTAGAGCACCCACATTTCCTTTTTGAGGTATTTTTTCACTACATAAAGCACTTCCCAATCGTCCGTTGACGGTTTCAAGTGTCCGTTGTTCGTGTTAGAGAAGATTAGTTACAGTAAAATGATTGAAGCACTGCAGGGACCAACACCTGGTGTACGCCTTATAGAGGTGCGGTCCGTTAAAAGAGAGTTGACTGTATAACGTACAATTAGCGTTAAAGTATATTTATGTATATTTCACCAGCGCATGCACATGCGTATTTGCCAGAATAAACCTCAATTAACTTATATCATTTTTAACAGAATGCTGGATTGGTAACAGTAACATCGACTCCAATGAATGCTGGGCCACAATTACGAGAATTACTTGGAAGAAAGAGCAATGAAAAGCTAATATTACTACTTCCACTTGGTTATCCTGATAAACAAGCAATGGTGCCAAACATTAGAAGAAAGCCACTTGAAGACATCATGGTTCTAAAATAAAATAAGGGTCCAAGTTTTTCCCTGGGGCACATTACCTCCCCAAAGAAACACCCATAGGTTTCAGACACATACAATGTCGGCTGCTATCGTTTGATTTATTTTTCTGGAAACATTGCTACACTACTTGCTAGGGGAATTATAATATCATTAGGGAAGAACAAACTGTTGGATATCTGATTATAAAAAGAACATTATTATAAGCTAACCAACAATTTGAGTTAGGAAGTACCGCATAAACCCTAATATGACTTAGAGATTAACTGACATTGAATAACATGAAAGATATTTTGTAAACAGGTACATTTTGTGAATTAAATCATAGCTACGTTTAATTAACATTTTCTAGAAAACTTGCATTACTAGCGTGTAAAGTCGCTCGTTCGTTGTCTGATTCACTTTAACATGACGTAATGAACAGCATTTGTTATACTGAGGACAAGGAGCTCAGTCCTGTGAGGAGTCGCTGTAAGGCTCTTTTGCTATTTACTCTCCAAACATAGTCCGGTGTTTGTTGAAACGAGAGGTGCCATTTTCATTTTGATGCTCTTCTCTGACATTTTCCAGTTTTTTCTTTAAAAACGAAAGGCTCCCTTTTCACTGTGAAGTTCTTCTAGATTACACACAGTGCAGTCTTTGTTTCAAACACAAACGAAAGGCTCCCTTTTCATTATGAAGCTCTTCTAGAAACAAAGTCCACTAATTGTTTAAACTCCGGAAAGGCTAGGAGCTCTTCTACAGAATACATTCCGGTATTTTCTGAGTATTTGGTACAGGGCGTTGCAAGGTTCGTTGTGATTTTAAAACCTTCTAGTACACAGGAAGGAAGTACGCAGTTCAAAACGGTCGCGGTGAAAAGGGTTCCGTTTAAAGTAGCCTATTCCAGTTTTCAAGATAGTGTTGTGAGGTAGTTGCCTTTAGTTTTGTTTTTCAGTTTTGCTATTTTTTAGATTTTGCTAGCTTTATGAAGGTATTCAATAGAAAGTCTTCCGTTCAGCTAACTCAAAACAAGTCTACAATTTACTGATTTAATTCGCTGTGTAAGCTAGTAGAGTTAGTTGAGTAGTAGAGTTGTTGTCAGAAGCTTTTGAAGAATAAACTGCTGTCTAAAGAGAACCTACAGAGTCTTGGTCCTCTCGTTAAAAAGCCAAGCGAGCTACAATAATAGTAATGTGCAGAAATCGATCCCTGATATCTGAGAGCCAGGTACAGGCTAAATTCAATGTTTGCGGAAAGTGCCGCACTAAATCTATCCACAACGCGGCATTCAGCGGGTCATTACGAAATTGCCTTAAGAACTGTTTGTGACTTTTTCCGCGCTTCATTTGGCCTTTATTGGTTTAAGAACCTTTCGCGTCGTCTTACAATGAGTCTTCGCCGGCCACGGTCGGTTTTTGTTCGCGTTTTTGGGTGAGTATTTTCAGTGGCTACTGTACATTTTGTGTTGAAATTTTGTCTCTGGATTGACTAATACTTTGTGCAAAATTTCTTGTTCATTAGTACTCTTTATATGTTTTTGTTTCAAATGTTCATCCCGGTAAGCATTCCACAAAATCAATCATTCGGCCCCATATTTCTCCTGAAGCTAAATTCCAATCTCTCCTCTGACATTTTAGTAAGTACCAGGTATAAAGAGGGCTTGGAGTGATTAAATTCAGCCATTCAATTGGAAAATAAGCCTATCCAACACTTTAAATGAGATTTTGAAGGGAGGTGACTTGAGATTTTTAATTTTTTATTTGGATTGGCTGTGATGAAGGACCAGCGCTCTGACGCAGTCGTTATGCAGTTTGAATAGATGCATAATTATAAACAACTGGAGTTCGATTTCCTATCTCTCCTTGCTGACCAATAAGTGGTTCCTTTGGTGAAGTGTCTTCACAATAAATAGTTAATGAGCTACATCTGTGGGTGCTTTTTGCAAAACACTTTGCACAACAAGATCTCAGCCACCAGTGAAAGCGCCCAAGAAATTTGTCAGTGAAGAAGCAGAAAAGAAGAAAGTTGGCAAACCCAGGTGCATTGTCTCCTATACCCTGAAAATAAACAAACAATAACATTTTAGAACACTAAACTATTACCTTTTTATTTTTGCATTCCATTCAAGTTAAACTAAAGTGAGTGCCACATTGGCTCCACACTGAATAGACTACTATATAATTTATATTTGACTATAAGACTCTTAATAAATAAAGTTTTCTTAAAAATTTGAACAAAAGTAGAAGCAAACACTGTAAAATGCAAAACCAGTCAAGTACAAGCAAATTAACAGCTTGGCAATAAACAATCGCACATAAAAAAGGAAAAATTTTAGTGAGAGGTAAATCTGTACATCAATTCAAGTCATGAATGTAGTAACCCCCTCCATTCATTCATTGACTACCCTTATCTCCCAATCAGTGTACTGCTTCCATGGTTTGACCCTGTGGTACATCACACAGACTAAACAGTATTACGATTTATACTTCATTGTTTTGCTAATACTACTGCATCAGTAGTCAAGTATTGATGGAACCCACCAGACATTCCAGAGGCTGGCCAAGTTTTGAATTCTCAGAATTCAAGTCTAAATAACGATTTTCACAGAAATTAGGATTAACCCACCTCACTGAGACTGGTGTTTAGTTATATTCTCTTTGCTCAATGATCATAGCTACTTAGGATTACAACCTGAACCCAACCCCATCCCCCAATACCTGTTAACGAATGACACTCTACACAGTAGAAAGGGACTTCACTTGCTCTTTTGATTTTTTCAAGGCAAAAAAGATTTAGTGATCTTGATTGTTCCTTTACTTATAAGATCAGTTCAGGTTCACCAGCCTATGTAGCAATTAGTATTCCCACTAAAAAGTTAGGGCAGAAGCAAATAATGTAAGGTGGGGGTGGAGAAGACAGAGGACATACTTTTCATCTACTATTCAAGGTTCTCAACACCTCTGTTTGTACAGCAATAGAGTTCCTGATGGCATGATGAAGTTGTAATGATTTGCTCTAAGCTATGTGACCTTTGTTGCCCTCAATATCTCTACAAAATTTGCACCTGTCAAACCACCAAACAAATATCCTTGAGTTTCCAGTGTGTGTATTCGAAGCAAATTTGGAACCTGAACATACAGCTGAATCCTGATGTTTCAAACCAACCTATTAAAAGCAAATTGCTTCTAATTATTGGAAAGTTTGAAATATCAGGGGTAAAATAAAGGTCTTTGTCTGGTGAAGGGAAGTTAGGTTTGGTTCATATAATTGGGAATTAAAAAAAAACTAAGGGGATTCTACTTTACTGAATATTATTGACAAGTTGTAAATCCACAAATGAACTCAAACCAATAGGGTCTACAGGTGTGCATTCTTGGAGAAGATCATGTTTACTGTGAATGAGCGGTGAATGTTCCCTTTGTGTTGGCCCTATGTCTAAACTTTCAAGCTTCACTCGCTGTGCACACTCTGATGATATGATTGCAGCTGCTTGATAAGAATATTATAATACTGACCTGTAAAACTAGTAGCCAATCATCAACCTGGGACTTGTAGTCGGGGCCTTTTGCAATCAAAAGAAGAAACCGTATTGTCCCCCAACTGCGCAAGATGACAAATATCAAGGGGACACATATCAACTTCCTTTCTGCCTTTTGTGCCTGTTCTTTTGTGCTTCGGGTAAAAAGGCCATCTTTCTTAGTTAGCTGAGGATAAAAAGGTTGCATTATAACAAAGATGTATGTCATTCCCAATTAAGGTATGGGCATTATTTTAACACTAAAGTCTGTCAGAGCAAATCTTATGATTAATCATCTGCATTAAGAGGGTGGACTGTAATTTCAGTTCCCAAATCTGCGAAATTTTTGCTTGAGGAATCTGGAATCCAAGAAGTTTTTGCTCATGGAATGCAGAATCCTGAGCTTTAAAATCCAGAATAGAGCTCAAAGAATCCAGAATCCCACTGACATTTGGAATGCAGAGTAACGTTTCACTGACTGACTGGAATTCAGTACCTTGAATCTGGAATCCATGATGTAGAATCCAGAGTCCAAGACTGTCTTAGATTCCCTTTCATGGGGCAAAAATTTCATCAAAAAGAGAACTGAGAGCAGAGCAATTAACTCAACAAGGGTCTTCAACAATACTACAGTCAGAATCCATTGTTGAGAATGTGACTCACTGATTGGCAGATTTAGTAGGGGCCTTTATTGCACTACAAAGGTCAGTTATTCAACATTGTACCATGCAAAAGGTTATAAAATGAAAAATGTTATACCAATTAAAATTATGAAAAACAATAGAAATGTCTGGCAGAACCTCACAAAGCTCAGGAAAAGATCCAGCCGTAGGAATAAAGGGTAAAAACACCAAGGGGAAAAATATTAAAAGACAAAACAAAAGCAAGAATAAAACAGAAAAAATCAGAACTTGCCCAGCGATCCATGCCACGCGCGACACAGATTCCATACTGAATTATAACTTACCTTTTTTGTCATACTCCGTTTTAATAAGCCATAAAGAAGAACTATAGCGAGGCAGGCCAATATTTCCCACAATTTTCCAGCCAAAAACATCCATAGGACTTGTTCATTCCAAGGCAAGTTTTTATTTACCCAGCACCATCCCGACGTGACTTGATCGCCATTGTTACCCAACTTGTTAGTTGATGCACCGATAGATACAATTACAACAGGAACACCCCATCCACACATGTGAAAGAAGTAAAGTAATCTGTTGGCTAATCTGGAAGTTTTCTTGCAAACATTCAAGTACAAATACACGGCCATAAATGCTGTCCAGAAAAATGAGCACAAGACCGATAGTGTTCCGATAATGCTTTGGATAAAACATACTTGTTTGGTTTCGGACCCTGTCAACCAAAAACTTGCAGTTGCCGCCACAGTGGCAACAGCGGTACAAAAGTCTGCTATGGAGATGTAAACCAAAATTCGTCTGGACTTGCTTCGAATGTCCTTCCACACAAAATATGAAACAATGATAAAAAGCGTTCCGAAGAACGATAGAATGGAGGTAATTGTCGTCAGATATTCGTTGACTATTTTTGCACGTTCCCCCAT